TCATAATTATTTTTTAATTTTAATCGCATTATTTATTAATTAGTAATTATTAACTATTGATTTTTTATTTTTTATTCATATTGTTTCAATATTATTTTGAAGTTGAAAATTATTTTTATGAGATAATGCAAATTGAAATCAAAATTTCCAAATAGTATGTTCTAGGGGTAAAATAATAAAATCAGTGAATTTCAAATGTTAAAGGGTTGATCTAACACAATCAAACTTAACGATTCGGAGCCTCTAAAACTAAAAAGCACCTATGCTTTGTTTTCATATTTCAGACCCAAATAATTTATTTTTAACTTTTCAGATTTATCAAATGCCACCTTAGTTCAATTACACCCCTATATGTTGACGCTTATTGGCTATAGTCATGATGAAGCTTGTAAAGTGGCCATGGCTAATTGTTCCAATCATGATTACTATATGGGGTCCACAGTTAAGGACAACGTTTTAAAAACCGGTCCGAAAATGAAACGACTTTGGTCACTGGTTTTTGGCTTAGCAGTTTGACCGTCTAGGTTGAACGGTTTGGGTGGTTTAACCTTTAATAAGAAATTTAGTATATTAGGGATTTATCTCCTTTTATGATAAGAGAGAGCTTGAGCTATGTGGCTGTTAGCTGAGAAAAGAAGAAGAGAGGAAGGAATGAAAGGAAAAAGGAAAGGAGAGGAAAAAAAGGAAAGGAAAGAAGAAGGGAATGAGGGAAAGAAAAAAAAAATGGAAGGAAGAGCTAGGTGGCTGCATGTAGGTAGTGGGCGGCATAGCTTGCAATCTGTCGTGCCAAGCCGGCTCAAAATCGTGCCCCTGATTTACACCTTTACTTAAAGCTAGTCTGACTATGAAAACTAATAAGATTAAAGCTACAATTTTTTTCTATTTTCTAAGAAAAAAAGATGTTGGTTGAGTTTTAGGCCATGTTTGGGAGTGCTTAAAAATAAATGCTTATTTGGGCCATTAAGCACTTATTAGTATTTAGGAAATAAGTGCTTATTTAAAAAATAAGGGCTTATTTTTAAGCCCAAATTTCCAACTTTTTTAAGTGCTTATACAATAATCATATATTCAATTTTTTTCTTCCAAAATTATCCCCAGTTGAATTTTAAAATACCACTTATAAAATTATCCCTAGTTGAATTTTATAAAAGTTCTTTTATGAAAGCATTTTTACAAAAGAACCTTTATAAACACTTTTATCAAAGTTCTTTTATGAAAGCACTTTATAAAACTTTTATAAAATGCTTTCATAAAAGTACTTTTGTAAAAGTGCTTTCATAAAAGTACTCTTATAAAAATGCTTTCATTAAAAATTACTTTCTTAAAAGTGCTTTCAAAGGGTATATATTTGAAAATTTGAAAAAAAATGAAGGACAAAATAGTCACAAATGCTTATTTAAGTGCTTATTAGAGAAAAAGACTACCAAACACCCAATATGAAATTAGTGCTTATTTTAAAAAATAAACAGTTGAAAAAGTTGGGTGCCAAATGCAAATAAGTGCTTATTTGAATAAGCACTTATTCCAATGTTCAAAATTTTGATACGCCCGAAATGCCGGTAGAGGCGTATTGGGAAGTATTAGTAGTTTTTTTAGTGTCCACCTCCTAAACTTGTCAAAACCACAATGCACCCTCTGTAGAGACATATCAGGGAGCTCTTAATATGGGCTGATACGTATCGATATTTTGAACCTTGACTTATTCAATAAACACTATTTTTTTTTTAAATTTAAGCACTCCTAAACATGGCCTTAGCCATTTTCAATGTCAGGGCATGTGAGATGATTGTAATCATGTATCTTCCTATTTTTTTTAATAGGATCCATTTTTTCCCATTTTCATTTCTTTTCACCAAAGGGAATAATGAATACCAAATGGAATTACCAAATCCAAATACACAAGTAAGGAAGTTTTATTTTTTTACTTGGCATTGGTAGTTTGGTAAATCTTGATATTCTGTTCGAGTAGAATCAAACAAATATTTGGTAAATCAGTCTAAGGTCTTGTTGGCTTTCAACAATCATATTAGAATAATAAATAGGATAAAAAACATTTTCGATAAAAAAACATCACGAGTTATACCCAGACTCCCAATAACACATTAAGTACGTGTTTGGAACCATGGGCACTTATTCACTAAACATTTGTATTTGATTTATTTGCAAAACCGAGAAAAGCAATAATTAACCCATTTATTTGACACTTAGGCACCACATCAGCAAAAAAAATGAATAAACGCCTACCCGTTGGGGGAAGCATTAAAATGAAGCTTCTCCCAATGGTAGGCACACACATAAATCAAAGCTTGCTTTTGCAAGTCTCTATGCATACTGATCCACATAATAGGGAAAATGCTGAAGTGGCACCTATGTAGCAGTGTTTGTTCAATAAACGCCCATGGTTCCAAACACACGCTAATGTTGTCCAAGTACAATAAAAATGGTGTTAGTATGTTTGAGTAGTTTCTCTTTGGTGTATGGCATTACAATAAAGAATCATCGACTTTTATAGTCAATTAATGTGAGAGTCCAATCCATCCAAAAATATTGTTTTCTTTGGTTCTTTTAAAAAATTTGAAGGATAATGAAGAGTAAAAGAATCTTTCAATTGATTCCGACAAATATAACTGGTACAAAGTATGTTTAAGTACATTTTAAAAACTCAGGGTATATTTAAGTCCATTTAAAAAACTCAGGGTATGTTTAATTCAATTTATTAAAAATAATATTCCCCTCAAACTAAGATTTATGGGCGCCTTAAGAGGTGTTCTGTAGTGTGGATGATAAATTGGTGGGTGTGGACTAATCCACTCCACACCCTATGGCAGAGACCAATTCATACCACACCACAGTCCACAACTGTTCTAAACTGTGGATAGATTGTGTGGATCAGACCAATCCACACCCACGGGGGAGTTTTGTAGGTGTGGATCAGTCCACACCATACTTTTTGCATTTTATATGGTAATAACAAATTGAAAAAAAGCATTAATATGTAGACAACAATTGCAAAATTTAAATAATTAAAAAAGTATTATTTTAAATATTAAAAGAATAAAATGTAATATTTTAAATATTATTTTATTAATAAAAATATTAAAAAATTAATATTTAAATAATGAAGAAAGAACTGAGAAAGAGAACCATCGGACTTATGCTAGAATTAATATTAAAAATTATAAAAAAATTAAATAAAATAAAAGTAATTGAACTAACGTAGTTGCGTTATACTGAAATCTTCATACAAATTATCCACACTACCATCCACGAGAAGATAATGTGGATGATAAATTAGGATGTGGCCGGTGATATATACACAATACCCAACGTGACCTTAAACACCCGTAAAAGTGTTAGTTTTAAGATGGGATCCACATCTATAAATCAAAGGATTTGATTATTGTTTCAGCGCAACGCTATTGGTAGTCGGCACTCGGCAGTCGTAGCAAACGTGATTTGATAGAAGATAACGTGGGCCCGCCCAGTAGGACGCCGAACTTCCCTTCAGTGAGTTAGGATTGGCTCCCCACTAGCAGAGCCCCCTCCTTCAATTGCTAGCATCTCAAGATAGCTACTTACTCACCTGTCACTACTACTCATGCCGAATCGTCCACAGTTTCCATAGCTACTGCTCAGCATGCAACAAATTTTCATAGTTTTCTAACCACCACGGATAAATAGCCCGAATCATCCAGTAGTTTCTATTCGTGATTCCGATTAATCACAGTCCAACCAACCAAGTCAGCTCCATATGACGTGGCAAATAGTGATTGGTGATGTATTACCGAGGATTTGAACTCCAAAATAAAAGTGTCGTTTGGATCAAATCGGGTTTTCGTACAGCATCCAACGCTAAACGGGGTTTTAGTAATTAGCTTGCTGTTAGCCTGGTGGTTCCTTAACGGTTTTATGTTACAAACAAACTGGCCACTGCATCTGCGCCACCCCGCCGCATTGCTGGGCGCATCTCGCAACAAAGGGTGTACTACTGTTACCGGCATTTTCTTTTGTGGGCCCTACTGTCATCGACTTTTCAGTTTTCACCACCCCGATCTCTCGTACTCTCTCCTCTCCAACTAGTCTGGATGACTGGATCTGCCATTAACCAAACAACGCTACGCTGGGCACTTCATCATGTTGCAGTGCATAGCACAGCACCCCCACCTGCTTTCAACACGTGAGAAAAATACACCTGTGCCTAGTGTTTTTCCTGACACTCACTGTTGATGACAGGTGGCAAAACACTAAGCGTGCCTAGCCTAGCGTTGTTTGTTACTAATCCAGTTGTACACCAATCATGATTGAACACGTGTGAACCAATCCCAACAACATGGCATTTGCAATTACACGTGTTGTCATCTGGTGGTATACATAGATTGAATTGCATAATCTAATGGTGGTTGGTTGGACCATCCTCGCTCGGATTTTTTTTCCTGCTTTGTAAGCATAAGAAACGTCAACTGCAGCTTTGACCAGCCGGCTGGACCGGCATCCTTAATTGAACCGGATTAATTGTTTGTGACATTAGAATATAAGCATTTTCCATGATAATGTTTTTATTAATTTATTTATAAATAAATACCACATAGACATAGACATACACATCCCTTAGGCATAGAAGGTGAAATAGAGCAATGTTTTTGTAGCCGTTACATTTAAAAAAGGGAGGGTGTCTTCTTAGCCCTTCGAAAGTTGGAAGGTCCTTTAACCCGCGTGTCTACAGTTTCCTCCATTTTTTTCTTTTAATTTTCTCCATTTTTTTCCATTGCAAAAAGTAAATTATAATTTTTTTGTTAATTAATTTAATTTGTTTAAGTAATTAGCATTAATTACCTGCAAAGCAAAGGTTAGGAGCTGTATAACGTGTGGCTAATACTAACTTTAAGCATACTTGTGAGTAATTTTCTATTTTCCTTATTGCTTGCACTAAATATTATATTATATATTTATTTCTATCGAAAGTCTTTTAAGGGGAGTGGGTGCAAGGTTTTAAACGCTTGCTTCGACCGTCTCTTTCTTTCTCCTCTCTATTCTCTATTCTCTACTCTCTCTCTTTCTCTTTTTCTCTGTGCAGAAAACCAAAAAGAAAGCCAAAGAAAATAGAAGAAAAGGAAAGCTCCCCCAAGAAATCTCAGATCCTTGCCTGCGAAGCACCTCAGAATCGCTGATTTTTGTTCTTATCCATAGCTTTACAATCTTTCGATCCATCTGATATCGCTTTCAAATCTGTCAGTTGATGCGTAGAATTTGCTGCCGCTAAGACGCTTGGCTCTTCGTCCCTAATCCGACTTCATTAAAGGTATTGGAGGTTGGTTGGGGGAAGAAATGCAATTTGATAAATCGCATAGGGTTTCTGCATGTCTGTGAATAGATCTCGCGTTGGCTCCTCGCTTGTTTTGGCAAATTATCTGAAAAGATTTCGCGGAACCGGGGATTGACAACTAAGAAGACCTTGAATTTTGCAATTTTCTTGTTGCATAGAAATGCAGTATGAATTCCAGCATGTTAGGGTTTTGGAGGCATATAGAAGAATTTCAGGCTTCGGGAAATTTCCCATCTGGTTGACTTGCTTGAACAATTGAAAGGTTCAAATCGGACGTAAGAATTTCCTTCTTGCTTATCAGCGTAACTAATTATGGTTGGATTATTTTGTTCAGTAACAGAACTGTTTTTTTTTTTTTTTCTAATTTAAAGTCGTTTTGGGGCATAGAGCATTAGAGCTGGATTCGTTGATCGGTGATTGTTGCACAACTCATTAATGCGTTTTATTTATGCACATGATTACTTGGATTTGTGAATCTGGTTATGTTTAGTCTTCATGTTGACATTAATCATATGGGCAAAAGGAATGGGGAATGAATCCTATAGGTTACCTTAGGTTTTATATGGTATTCAAAAAAAAAAAAATCCTTTTATATAGGCTGTTGAAGATTGGCTGTGGCATTGGCCTGGTGGACATGCATGGGCTACCGGCTACCGTGGCAAAAGGAAGGAGAGGGATGGCATACCCACCTCATGAAAGTCTAGTCTGTAACCTCTGTGGACTTGGTTTGCCAAGTGGGGGTACTGTCAAGGTTCAACTTGGCAACTGCGGAAGGCATCTCCCTTAGGTCATCTAAAAAATGAGCTTCAATTGTGTCATTGGGAGAAAATCAAGGAAAAAGGGAAAACAACCGTAGAAGAAAGCAAGTTTATTCAAATTCCTACACCAGTTGCATTTTTGTAGTTTTTGGTTATTGGTCAGCTATTCTCTGATAATAAAGAAAAAAACCGTTAAAACGAAAGAATATACAAGGACAGGTAATTTTTATTAGAGTTATTTTTCTAATTTGTTAGTGTAATAGTAATAGGATTAATTGCCACTTTTTTAGCTTAATTTTCAAGGGTCAAAACTTGTCTATTTTACATAATTTTGGTGTCATCAGATGGGTAATTGAGTCCAGCTAGATCAATATCTTGTAATTCTGACATATTTTGAGTGAGCTATGGCGATTTAAGTGATAGGGTACAAGTTTGTAACGAGATTAGGAAGTTTTCATTTTTGGGCTTATCTTAGAGTTGTTTTGGGTTTGTGTAGTTGTAATAGGATAATTAGAATGCTACTACAGTCAGTTAACAAGTGTAAGTCCTTATTGTTATATATGGGTTGGCTTTAGTTTTAGAATAATTATAAGTTCTTTTGGGTCAGTTTCCTAATTGAGTTTGGAGTCTGTAAAGGGAAATTTGAGCCCTTATGTTAGAGTCTATAAATGGAGTCATTACAATTGAAATTTAGTAGTGTTTGTTCGATAAATAAAAGTTCGGTTTATAAATTCTTCTCGTATCCAGATCTCTTTCTATCCCCCCTACTTTTTTGTTCCTCTAAGCAATCTGTTTCTCTGCTGTATGTTCTAACAACAAGAGTTATTTTTCTTTCTTCCTAATCTCCTGCTCATTATTTGGCAGACAATAAGCTATCTACTTGCTTTTCTTTCTCTATATTTGTTATTAATCACCCAAACTGTCTTTTCTTCACTCTACAAAACCCACCTCAAGGTCTGAAAGTTGTAGGACCTCCAACCTGTCCTACACCACTACTATATGCTAAGATTAACACAATGCCCTGCAATTCATTATGGGTTTTCACCCTACTGGAACCTGGGGTCAGTATCAACTGGTGAAGAAAAGCAAGTACCTAAGATGATAGAAAAGTCTATTGACAATAGGAATAGCTTAGTACTTGTGATTTGATAGAGGGTACGACCCTGGTTAGAGTGAAGTGGTAGAAAAATATTTATTTTGTCAACTGCATATTTTTCTTCTTTGATAAGTAGCATGATCAAAAGGGGTTTTGTTGTTGAAAATGAAGTAAAAGGAGAAGGATTACACTCTATTGTCTCCAGGTGCAACGTTTAGTTCAGTTGGGCTTGGTTCTTGTGTTTTAAGCCTTTGGAGGTCATTTGGTTATGTTATTTCCAAATACTTGTCAAGTAGAACATACATTACATATTACAAAAAAAAAAAAAAAAAAAAAAACATTTGCACACAGAAGAGGGTGGGGGGAGAGTACAATAAATGGCCTAAAATTTTTTGGTATGGTTGTCTTGACATGAGGCTATGGCAATTTGTGTCTGCTCAATGCCTTCCTTTCTGGGGCTTCAAAAAATGCCTTCCTTTCCTTTCTTCTCGTAAATTTCTTTTCTTCAGTTGTATTGTAATTAAAGTTTTATTGTTTACCTTAAAAATTTAGTTAGAAGGCAGAATAAATAGCATTTTCACTAATCCTTCAAATTCCATTATGACACCAGATTAACATAATGAAACTGTCAAAAAAGTTGGGTCTATGGCTTCAATGACTTCACATGGCAATTCGAATTAGCCCTATTTGCCAACACTGAATCCCATCCATTAATGTGAAGCTGATATTTGCTCTTTAGAACTGAATGCTAGAGATGCTGATTTTTCTTTGGAATTTCTGTAGCCACTTTTGTAGGAGAGGAATGTTCCTGTCTCCAATTCTTACACCTTCATTTCCTTTTCTTCTATTACAGTTCTAATCAACAAAGTGGTCATTTTTGCACCCCGGAAGGGTATGAGTTAGTACACTGATAGCTTGGTTAAGTGAACTTAAGATAATCATACTCCCATGAAGATCTTCTTCTTCTTCCATATAGTCAGCTGCTTGGGAAAGCCTTTTGATAACCATGCCCCAGATGGCTGGAGATATCGTCATCAACATCATTTGCCTTTTGCTACCTACGTGGAGTTGGTAGAACAAATTCTGTTCTTTGGTTCTGCTTTACCTGAAATTTTATCTTCTATTGAAGACTGAACTGATAAATCATTTACTACCTGAACTTGGTACCTTTTGTGACCGACAACTTACATAATTGCACCAACTCACCTTTCTTGGAGTCTTTGATTGATTCATCTAAAGCTATTCTGTTGGATATCAACATTTTCCTCCGGCCTTTGACATTTTGTTTGTTTATTATACTCTTTCTGCTGTGATACTTCTTTTAGGATATGAAAGCTTAGCGGTTATGCTACTCTTTAGTACCCAGTTAACTGCTGGGTAGTACTGTATTTTGAGGATGGATGATCCTCTTGCACTTTGGGCTAGATTTTTAGTCATTTTATCATTTTATGGGGTTTTGATGAAGCTTTAATGATGGCAATGATGATGATGATGATGGTGACATTGCTTGGGTACTGGCTATCTTCTTTCCTGAATATGTGGTTGATATCCATATAGTTATTTGATTTGTCCACTTGAAAAGTGCTAGATGTCTCTTTCTCGCAGGTGGGGTTTGGGTGAAGCTTTGATGATGATGATGACATTCCTTGGGTACTGGCTGTCTTTTTCTTTCCTAAATATGTGGTTGATATCCATGCAGTTATGTGATTTGTCGACTTGAGAAGTGCTAGATCCTAGATGTCTCTTCTCTCATAGGTTGGTTATGTTTTCTAAATGAAGCTTTTAACTGTATGCTTCTTCTGTTTATTCCAGGTTTTACATGAAACATGGCTCTTCAGAAGCATATACATGTACCTTTGAGTAATTCATCTTCTCCTAGCATGGCACCTTTGAATTTTTCCAGTAAGGTGCATGAGAAGGGTCAATTTGCAGAGCCAGAGAAAGCTGCAAGTCCTCCTCTGGAGCCTGATGTGGATATTGATCTTCGAGAAGTTTACTTTTTGATCATGCATTTCCTATCTGCTGGGCCATGTCATAGAACTTATGGGCAATTTTGGAATGAACTCCTGGAACATCAGCTTTTGCCTAGGAGATATCATGCTTGGTATTCAAGGAGCGGTGCACATAGTGGGGATGAAAATGATAATGGGTTATCCTTCCCATTGAATTACAATAAATTGGTCGAGAGGTAACATAAGAGGTTCTCTTTTTGCTCTGATTTTATCAAGATTTATGGTATTGTCTTCACTAACTTATGGCGTGACCTTGCACAGAAAAATCTAAGGCAATATTTGTATTTTGGTTTTAAGTTTTTATTTTCTGTTCTAGACAATACCATTAACTATTGTAGTTGGTTACCCAAGTTTTGTTCTTTCCATTCGTCAAATCAAAATTGTTACTTTTTAATTGGAAAACAAAACAACTTGCATTGGTTGTGTAGGATTTATTTCATAGAAATCTTCCCCAATAATTGTTTGGATTTAGTGACTTGTGTGTTCCCCCCTGCCTTAAGGTATCCTCACATTGAAAAGGATCACTTGGTCAAGCTTCTGAAGCAACTGATACTCACTACAGCCCCACCATTGCATGGAATGATTGGAGGAAATGCTCCAAATGCAGCTGATGTTCCTACACTTCTTGGATCAGGCTCCTTTTCACTTCTAGAATGTATGAGTCATTGAGTTGTATACATTACTTTACTCAATTTTCTTGAACAGCATGCACAATATGGCAAGTCTTTGTACACCATATCAACATTTAAAATTTTTTTTGACCATTTGAGACCATTTTGAGTTTGTACTAGGTTTTCTTCTTGAGCTCTCATACTTGTAGTTGGTTTGTTTTTATGTCTGGGGTATTTTGTTATCCTTTTATTTGTTTTGATGTTCTACTTTCTGTTTTTCTAGCTGATAGAAACAAAGACATGCAAGTGAATTGTCTGCCTCGCTACTTGCGTTGGCCTCACATGCAGGCCGATCAGGTGCGTGGGCTAAGTTTGAGGGAAATTGGAGGTGGTTTTAAAAAACACCACCGTGCCCCATCCATTCGTGCAGCATGTTATGCCATTGCTAAGCCAGCAACTATGGTGCAAAAGATGCAAAACATAAAGAAATTAAGGGGACACCGAGATGCTGTCTATTGTGGTATTGTTTTCCTCTCTGTTATACCTATGAAATTTCAATTCACTTTTAGACTTTGAGGTTCTCGTCTATAAAAGATAATACCTGAACTAACAATGACAAGTTTGAAATATCAATTCAGAATGGGATCGATCTATTCTTGCTGGCATGAATCATATGATTTTGAAACCTTTGTTAAAATGCTGTTCACAGTTGCCTGCTCCTCTTTTGTTTTGATGGGATAAACCTATGATGGTGATGTAGTTAGTATTCACAGGCTCTTATGCTTGGGAGGAGGGGGATAAGGTATCAAAGAATCTTTCAATGCATTGAACAATAAATTTATAATTTCTAGCAGGCTAGTTATCTATCTTAATGATCTAAATCAACTTCGTCATTTTTATTGATCGGTAGCAGAAAACATTATTAATAATCATTTTTAAGAGGCATAGAAGAAACAATAAGACCCATATTAAGTCCAATCCCTGTCTTCATTGAAGATTCTCCCAATCACTCGGTCCCTTTCATACTCAAACTTCCTCTTTCTTAAGGAATAACCGTAGCCCAGTAAGCAATAACCTGTTTCTGTCCACCCCAATCTGGTTGAAAAATCAGCCAAATTGTTAGCTGATATATATATATATATTTAAATTCGTTAGCTGAATCCTTGCTCAAATGAGTAAGATATTCACTATGGACGCAAGAGCTTTAGCTTCTTCAATATGGTGCCTCAACTGCTACAGCTCCTTCTCTACATTGTTCATCCGTCTGATGGCCATTTGAGAGTCGTCTTCCACCTCCAACCTTTGAAAGTCAAGGGAAAGCATGAACCTCAACTACTGCAATAATGCAAAGTTTTAGCTCTAATTGCTGTTCCATAACAAATCAGATATGAGCACTGAGTACATATAATGAATCTTCCCATCTGAATTTTTGAAAATACCTTGGTTTCCAGAATTTCCAAGGTTTCCAAAACTACAACCATCAAAGTTCGGCTTGACAACTCCATGAGTCATGAGATGAAGGAAATCAACTCTACATCTGAATACTTCTTCTAGAAGATGTTCTCTGAACATCTTGCTATGCTTTCTTCTCACTGCCTCATACACCTCATCATCATCAATCTGGCAATTGATCCTACTATACTCTTCCAGCATAAGTCTAGACATTTCTAATTGCCTCAACATCGGAATGGACGCTCTTCCGATGTGTAGAAATTCATGAAGTTCATGTGTATTCTACCTACATCTCTCATACTTAATGTTGCTGAATTTCTTTCTAGCATTTGCAGATGCACAAACGGATTTTGTTTTAAGTGACTTGCTCATCCCAGGGATTATAATATTTCAGCAAAGTGTTTCCATGAAAGTTTTAAGTATTTTGTTGAGGCATTATAATTGGCACTAATGTCTTTGTTTTATTTTTTTCTCAATCCTTCTACATATTTCTGCAACAAGAATTTTGGTTCATCATTGCCATTCATTCACCTGGATTTGTACTGAATAAAATTTTTCTCTTTGATATATTCTGTAGCCATATTTGATCGCTCGGGGAGATATGTGATTACTGGTTCTGATGATCGCCTTGTAAAGATTTGGTCAATGGAAACTGCATTTTGCCTGGCAAGCTGTCGTGGACATGAAGTGAGTTTAGTTAGATGGTTTATGTTTTGTTGATGCTGTCACTTTTTTTTTTTTTTTTTAAGTTTGTTTCATTTGTACTTGTCTTACTTGTTTCAATACATGCTTTTCAAAGGGTGACATTACTGACTTGGCTGTGAGTTCAAACAATGCTGTGGTGGCATCCTCCTCAAATGACTTTGTTATTCGAGTTGTAAGATATCCCTTTCCTTCATGCAAGTTGTTTTGGTTTTTGTTTGCTTCAATGAAAGGACATTTCATTCTGGTCTACCACAGTGGCGCTTGCCAGATGGGATGCCAGTTTCAACTTTGCGTGGACATACTGGAGCTGTTACTGCTATTGCATTTAGCCCCAGGACTGGTGCTGCATTTCAGCTGTTATCGTGAGTATCATTCCTTTCAGTCTAATATCTTTTTGCGTTATTTGTTCTGTTAGTGTCGACTGTGTAGGGGTATTTTAGTCTTTATATTTATGTTTTAAAGCTGATTTGTAATGTTCTGTTAGATGATGTGGCCCATACTTAAGTAGGGACAAAGGAGTCTTTTGTTATTATGAATAGAAACATATAAATTAAATCTGGCCGACTAGAGAGAGACCTGAGTTCTCTAGTTTGAACCAGAATTTTCTTCTTCTCTATTCTTCTCTCTTCTCTCTTCTTCTTCTACTTCTTCTTCTAGTCTCTCTAATATCTCTTCAACCCTAATTCTAACAGAATTCTAGTGCAGATTAGGTTTATAATATGGTATCAGAGTCACCGTGAAAAAATCGAATCTGCCCAGAATTCAGTAGAGGGTTTTTTATTTTTTTTCCTTCTTCATCAGTTGAAGATAGGGAAAGGGGCTGAAAAGGAGTGGTCGCCCTCTTCCTTTGGAGGTTTCTATTGCCTCCGGTCAGCAAGTTTGTGGGTGTTTGCAGTGATTCGTAGGAAGCCCCCTCTAATCGATGGTGAGAAGAGGGCTGGTTTGAGTGATGCAGTGGAGTGTTGAGTGCAGATTGATTGTTTGGTGATTAGATAAGTGGGTTTTGTGCAGATTTTAGTGTGGACCGGATGGTT